AGTTACCATATTTGATTGTGCCCCCTTCCTACCAATGCGGAATACGAAATGACGTTCGTGCTGAAGATCAGAGGACCTGTCTTTGCCATTCCATTGGTGTACCTACCTACTTGCTTCGAAAGAGAAAGAGAGAGAGACAGAGAGAGAGAGAGAGAGAGAGAGATGGAGAAAAAAGAAAAGAAATAATGTTTGTTTGTTCATGGAGAAATAATTATATCGTAAAAGATATAGGAAAATTTCTTGAATATTAATCGAAAAAAAAGTCTATCGATTAATCTAACCAAAAAAAAAAATATTTTAAACAAATTCATTGATTCATTGATCCAATACCATTGACAAATAATGTTATTGTTTATATTTGTTTTTTTTTTTTTAGATAGATGGATAGATAGATAGATAGAGGGAGAGAGAGAGAGAGAGAGAAGAAAAGAAATATTTCTTCCTTTTTTTTATTGAACCAGGGAAAGTATTGTTCTTCTGTTGACGTCACGAAAATTGTTAAAATCGTTCTTTCGAGAAAAGAAAAGAAAAAAAATGAAATTATAAACGAATCCAGTGATCATTTTCAACGCTTAGGAACAATAATTTAATTGATTGCAAAAATAATAAACGGACACGTCATTTCTCACTTGATCGATGAATCGCAACCTCAGTAGTAACCATCTCTCTCTCTCTCTCTCGTTCTCTGTACGTTGTTGTAGGACGGCGTGAGGAAAAAGAATGAGAAAGAAATCGTGCGTTTGATGTCACGGCAAAAGGGAATGGAGGCGCGACGAGGGAAATAGAAAGTACAGAGAGAGCGAGAGAGAGAGAGAGAAAGAGAGGGTGGGCGAAGTGCACAAGGGTTGTAGTTTCGCGTCGGTCGGCCGGTCGGTTGGTCGAGCGTAACCACGTTTGTCTATACTCACCCTGTCGTCCTCCCATCCCTCTTCACCCTCACTCTCTCTCTCTCTCTCTCTCTCTCTCTCTCTCTCTTACTCTCTCTGCCTTTCTCTTTCTCTTTCTCTTTCTCTTTCCATTCCCCGTTCTTCCGTGCTTAAACGTTACAATTATTACCGGAAAAGCGCTGCACACGCATGCGGCAAACCGCGGGAGCCACCGGCGGAATTACATTGATATTAGTATTGTTTCGGCCGGGAGATTAATTAATTAAAACGCTCTTCTATATACGCTCGGCTCGACCCTCTCCCGCGTATTTCGCCACTCGCGTTTCCCCATCCACCGTATATGTATGCCTGTATATATGTATGTATGCATATATTTATGTATTTATGTATGTATATACGTGTATATGTGTCTACGTATATGTTTATGTACATACATGCTGTAACAAACGAGATGGTAACTGGGCGACGAATAATCGACCGAACATTAATGTTTGGACTTACAGGATGGATAAAAATTATCTGTCATCATCGAATGACGATTTTCAAATTCAACGATTGCTCCTGTTGATCGCACCATTTCATGCATCCCATTGTGCCGCAATGCACCGCACCGCACCGCATCGCATCGCACCGCACCGACACGAAATTGATCATATACTTTTCGAAGTACATATTATGTCGGACATTTGATATTTATGAGTACTTGTTGATATATAATAACAATAATAATAATAATAATAATAATAATAATAATAATAATAATAACGTCTGATCGAAATTGTAAATTAAATAAATCATTCGTTGTTAATTTGCAAGAGATTATTGGTTCGTTAATGAGACGTTCGTCGGGACATGTCGACATGTCATTTGATTATTTTCGATATAACTGTGTTGACGGCTTTGAAGAAAATAAGGAAGAAAGGGAGAGTGAAAGAAAGAAAGAGAGAAGGAGTAAGAGAGAATGAGAGAGGGAGAGAGAGAGAGAGAAAGAAGACTCACCCTTTTTGGCGTGGAGAATATCAGCGGGATCAGGCGGTAGCGCCGTGCAATGGCTCGGACTTAGACTAGGCTGAAGACTCGAGAAAGGGCTTCCCGCACCCGACGGATACCTTAAAAATCGAATCTTCTTTATTTTCTATTATTACCGGCTTCTTGCTCGACAAATGTCATTCAAAATATTAAAAACTTAAAGATAATATATTCCTTTGAAAATTTAATAAATATTTATATATAAATATACACATATATATGTATGTAAATATATATTTAAAAGAGAGAAAAAGATAGAGACAGTGAGAGTGTAAGTATGCTAGTGCGTGTTTGCGCATGTGTGTGTGTGTGTGTGTGTGCGTGTGTGTGTATGTGTACATTTATGTGTTAAGATCGTTGTTAAGAAACTCGATAACTCACCAGGGATTGGGTCTTGGCCAGCCAGTGGTCTGTCCGTTCAGTAGCCTGAGCTTGTCGTAAACGCTCTCAGCAGGACTACCAGCGCCAACACCTACGCCGACGCCAACGCCAACTGCCCCTACACCCTGTTGCTGTTGTTGCTGTTGTTGTCTTTGTTCCTTCTGTGCCGCCAAGTTCCTCAATACCCTGTTGATGGACGAAACCTGAAGAAAGAAAAGCAAAGAAAGAAAAGAAAAAAAAGAACGAAAACAGGAAGGAAATGAGGATAGAGAGAGAAAGAGAGAGAGAGAGAGAGACAAAAAAAAAGAAAAAGAGAAAGAGAGAGAGAGAAAAGAGAAAGAAAAAGAAAAAGAAAAACAGGCATATACTAATCGTTGAACGATTTAACGATTCGCTTAATTATTTCGTTGAAAATCGTTCGTAAAAATGATTAATATACATATATGTATGTACCAATGTATCATTGAATTTATTTATTTAGAATATCGAGATGACGAAAGTAATAAACGATTGGGCATACTATTAGGTTGGAAATTAATGAGAATAGGAAGAAAAGGGTTAGGGTCGTGACGGGTTTAGATAGGATAGAATTGTCGAAGGTCGAAAAGGAGAAAGGGTGGGATGAGTCGGGATGAATTGGGATGGGGTAGGTAGGTTGGTGGGGTGGGATGTAGAAATAGAAGGAGACAGAAGGTAGATGGAGGTGGATGGAAATGGAGAAGGAGGAGGAGAAGGAGGAGGAAGAGGAGTAGGTGGAGTTGGAAGCGCTTCTGCCCGATGAAATGCGACGAGAGAGCGGTAATTAAAACGATGCGGTGAGCGCTTGCCGATGTGTGTACCACGAGGGAGTTAATTACCTCCGCCTTCAATTATATCCGTCTCGCGCCACTCCAAGGGGACTTTGGCTTCTGCCAACGTAAGTACGCACTCGCGCGTCTGCGCCACTTGCGATTGGGTGTAAAGCGTGTGCTACGTTGCCTGTTAGCTCCTTGATATGTGAACTGATTATATATAAATGTCTATATACATATACTTATATATATATTATATATATATATATGTATGTATGTATGTATGTATGTATGTATGTATTTATGTATATGTCTTATACGCCCGAAAGAGACTATTCGAATACTCTAACACTGAATTCTTCCTTTCGCGAGTTGATGCGCGCCGCGTTGTAGCAGAGGGAATTGGCTAATTTACCAGAGATTCGATTTTCCTTCCATTTCTTCTTCTTCTTCTTCTTCTTCTTCTTCTTCTTCTTTTTCTTTCTCTCCTCCTTTTTTGTTTTTCTTTCTTTCTTTTGCCATCCATTGCGACATGGGAATAAACTGACGTAAAATCAATGCTCCATTAAATACTATGACGTATACGTATCATCTATCTATTCCTACATTGAAATAAAACAACTCACGAATTCAACCCTTTAAACCTGCTAATACGAAAGTCAGTGTGAACCAACGGATAAAACGGATCACGATGCGGATAAGCTATGCTTGGATTTACCGGATCCCGATTAAAACACCCTCTCACTCTATTTCACTCTCTCTTTCTCTCTCTCTCTCTCTCTCTTTCTCTCTTTCTCTCCGTCTCTCTCTCTTTTCTACGAACTTTTCTTTTCCTTTTTGTCTATCTTCTTGCCTCTTGTGTTCAACTTCTTTCCTTTCCTTTCCTTTCCTTTCCTTTCCTTTTATTTTCTTTTCTCAAATCCCCTATCCCTTTCTATTCTCGTTTCTTTCCTCACGCAAGTTCCATCGCTTTTCGTCGTTCCCGTCAGTTGCAGCTCGCATAAATCTCGAAGAAGAAATCGTGAAAGAATTCCACGAGGTGGGCTGAGGGTAAGGGCGGAAGGATAAGGTAGAGTAGAGTAGGGTCGAGAAGGTGAGGGTGGGAAAGGGATTCTTTTCCTGGCGACGATAGTTCCCTACAATTTATTTTCTCACTCTCATTTCTCCTTCTCATTTCTCCTACCGATTCCACTTCCTTCTTCTTATTTCTTAGAAATTCGTTCGCAAATTTTCATATTTATTACTTATAATAAAAAACTGGAACGATTATTATTTATTTTCACATTCCTTAATACAATAATAAAATTCTTTCTTTCTTTCTTTCTTTCTTTCTTTCTTTTTTTATTTCTTACTTTCTTTAGATTGGATTCCGAAAGATAGAGAAGGAGACATAGAAAAAAACGAGAGAGAGGGAGAGAGAGAGAGAGAGAGAGAGAGAGAAGAATTTCAACGAGAGAGATTGGCCACAGGATATTTTCGTTCCCTTGGGTTTGTTAGACTTGGTGTCAGGGGTCCACAGCGTTGAAACGAGCTGACATCTCGGACCCACGAGCAGGAGCATCGTCGTCGTCGATTCCTTCTCCTCATCCTTTTCATCCTCCTCATTCTCCTCCTCCTTCTCCTTCTTCTCTTCGTCTTCACTCTCATCGTCATTCCCCTTTTCCAAATGGACGATATATACACCAATGTTGGTTAATGTTACATGCACGTGCGCGCGCATATATATATATATATATATATATATACACACACACACAAACATACACACACAAAACATACGTACGAAGAAAACATCACCGGCACGCTTCCTCTTGTCTTCTACATCTACCCTAACGTTCTATATTCTTCTTTAATTAACAATCAAATGATTCTTGAAATATTGTAATCGTGAATATTATTCGATCATTATAATGTAGATTATTTATGTATTACAATATTACATAATAAGGATCGCGAGAAGGAAGATTTGTAAATTGACGTAAATCTTCCTTTTCTTTTTTTTTTTTTTTTATCTTTTTCTATTACCTTTCTTCTTCGATAGTAATTTTTCCTTCAATTTTGTACGTTTAATTCTATAGAGTTTATTACGTCAGTATAGTTTAATTTAATCAAATGTAATTGATGATAATATTATTATGAGATTGCTATTAACATACGTATACGCAGTTTTTATCTATATATTTGCGTATAAAAAATAAAGAAATAAAAAAAAAAAAAAAGAAAAATAAATGATACAGGATCAAAAGTTCAATCGTAAGTATAATCATACTACGAAGGATTGAGTAAACATCGATTCGTTCTTGATAACTATTTGATATGACAATTCGTTTACTTTTAATGAAAAAATAAATCAAATATATATATATATATATATATATATATATATATATATATATATATAACTAAAAATAGAAAGAAAGAAAAAATACAAATCAGGATTAAAAATTAAATTATAAAAAATAATTACTATCACGTTTCGGTATAATACCTATAACGCTATATCATTGATATCGTATATATTTTTTTTTATGATTCACGATACGAATAAAACGTGTATATATATACATATATATATATATATATATATATATATATATATATATATATAAATGTATATATGTACTTATCTACCTACACCTATCGAAAAGTCGACCAACGTCGAAAACGTTGTCGTCGAATGAATGAAACGTCGCAGTTGAGAAAGAAGGGCCCTCGCGACAAAAGCTGAAAGCAGGCCCAAAGTAGAGAGAAAGACAGAGACACATACAGAGAGAAAGAGAGAAAGAGAGAGAGAACGACTGCCAGTCAAACGACAAAATCCGGCTTTTTCGTTTATGACATCGAGTGTCGCCATACTATTTGACCGCATTTTGATTGACGTATACCGCAAATATAGGTATATACCGTTCTTCTAGATAGATTTCTGACGTGTGTCAACCCTCTTAGGCTCCTTCGTCCTCCCTCCAACCTATCCCTCCTAAACCCCACCTCTCCTCTCGGCCTACCGTCACTAGCGATTATTGGCTACCGCTTAAAAATTCATCTTCACAATGCTTCTGTATTGTCATGATACTCTTGAAAAAAAAAAGAGAGAGAGAAAGAGAAAGAGAGATAGAGATAGAGAAAGAGAGAGGGTGAGAGAGACAGAGAGAGAGAGAGAGAGAGAGAGAGAGAGAGAGTAAGTACTTGAGAGAAGTCGACGAAACGATTAACTTACGACGGTTTTTTCGCGTTAAGTGGACCACTTCTTTCGATCGTGCTTCTCTTATTTATGCTTGTAGTTTTGATTTTTTGTTTTATTTTGTTTTGTTTAGTTTTGTTTTATTTTGTTTTCTTCTTTTCTTTTTTCTTTCTTTTTCTTTTTTCTTTTTTTCTATTTTTCTTTTTGTACCCCGCGTATCCCAGCTGTCCGTGCTCGAGATTTGTCATCGTTATGGGATGTAAGTACGTCATCGTGAATTTGAATCTTATTTTTAATTACGTTGAATCGTATACGTTATATCCGGTAATCGATATAAATTGTTAATTGTCAATGTTAATATTATTAAAAATTTTCTATTATTTAAAAAAAAATATAAGTTTTCATGTAAGCGTAGAATGTTATAATAATTTCTAATCGTTCTTTTTCTAACGATATAATATTTGATTAATTTAATAATAATAAAATGTAATGATTTATATGATTTACTATTTTTTATATATACGTATCAGTTATAATAAATTTATATATATATATATATATATTTCTATATATTATAAAAATATAATATTCTAAAAAATAAAGACATTTTTTTTATGCAAAAAGAATATACCAGGGAAAGAGATAGACTCACTATTATTATATATTTCATATATATATATATATATATATGTGTGTGTGTGTGTGTGTGTGTGTGCGCGTGTGTGTAGATAAAAACTATACATAAGTATATATATAATTTCAAACGTGTTTTAACATCGTCGTATCGCCGTAACGCATCGCGATATAACGCGGCAGGAGCACAAAAGGAGCATGGATATTATCCTTCGGTCCGTGGATAAAGGACGACACGCGGCGGGGGCTTAAAACACGACGGGAGAAAAGAAGAAGCCGTCGACGGATCGATGAAATTAGCATGAAGCGTGAAGAGCCCCAGAGGGTGGACGATTCTTGAAGAGGGTGACGGGACGTTGGATAGAGACGTCATAATATTGTTCTCGAGTCCGGATTCTAAGATAATTTCTTTTAACGTCGAATTATTTTTTTTTTCTTTTTGTTTCTTTCCTTCCTTTTTTTTTTCTTTTTCTCTTTTTTTTTTTTCTTTGAATACCAAAATCAGACATTCTTAGATCCTTTGAATGGAATATTCTCTTAGGAAAAAAGAAAAAGAAAAGATTATTTTCTATCTTAGAATATCAGAGGATGATTGTCG